GATTCAACGTTGACGGAATGGCGCAGCGCGATCCGAATAGTCGAGACGGAGATGCCATGTGAAATTTAATCGTTCGCCGCATAGGCACGACATACCGCTGTCATACTCGGTAGCCCGTTAATGCTGCCCCCCGACACGTGATTTCCGGTAATTAGGTCAACGCCTGTGCTTCGCGGCCATTGTACGAGACGCTGTTAGACGCTTCGTCGACGGAGCTATAATTTCCTCGTAAGTCTTCCCCCGCCTCTTTCGTAACAACGTTACAACGTGCTCATGATCACAAAATCGAACGATGTTCATCGATCAGGAGATGGGGTTAGAAGGAGACTTCTACATAGAAGTTCCATGTATTCAATTTCAAATAACCACGCTACATTTCTTACCAATTACATTCCAATCACCGGCATTACTTTCACTTGCCCTATTTCTTCATTCAAGGGTAACCACCCTTTTAACAGCTACTTAGTTAAATTTCAATCAATTTCCTACTCAGAAAATCGTTCATTTTCCTGCGTTCGACGAAGACTACGTATCTACCTTCAAAATTCCGAACCACTTTCTGATCACCTTGAAGAACAAGCTTCCGAAGAATACCCCAGCACTTCAAACATACCTAAAATCCTACCTTCAAACATAATCTAGAATCTGAACTGCACAATCCGACGAGCTTCCAATTGAATCCAAGACACACCAGCTAAAACTCTGATCCATCCAAAGCCTAGAACCCTACAAATCGTCTCAGAGAAGTCCCCTAACTATTCGGCAATCCTCCCAGATTCCAAACCAAGAATTCAGCAACGTGGGATCGATCTCAGTAGCCCAATCACGGGTGAACCGACCCGTCGTAGAGCGGAGCCCGCTTATCGTCGCGCATACCCTGTTATCGTATCGATGTTAGCGTCTTACCTTGCGTGCTGCCGTTGGGTTGGCCGGATTGCGGGATCCCAGGATAAAGGGGCGATAGATGCGGCGAGGGCTGATTGTTGCTCGGTCCCGTAGAATGCGGATTGGCTGTCGTTGGTGTCGGCGTGGAGGACGGTACTTG